CACGCCAAGAGGAAGACTGTGACCGCCATGGATGTGGTGTACGCTCTGAAGAGGCAGGGCCGCACTCTGTACGGCTTCGGCGGTTAAACTCATTCTCCCCAATCCATCAAAAGGCTCTTTTAAGAGCCACACACACTTCACTTTGAGAGCTTCCTTCTGCGATCTTGTTGGTTTTTGTCATGATTTAGAGGGACGTGCTGAAAAAGTTGGCGAAATATCTGCCAGTACCTATCTCCCCAGCAACTTTACTGAAGTACTACATTATAACTTTAAAAAAATTACCAACTGAGATTCCTAACATGTTATTAATTCTTGGTTTTTCTAAAGTCTATAAGATTAAGCTGTTTATCGTGTGCTTTTCTTTCTCCTTAACTGACAGAGCCACAAACTGAACTTCAGATTACAGACCTATTCAATACCACTGTTTCATTAAACTCGCCTATAGCAGGAGTGTAGACCAAAAGAAAGAAAACTGAAAGATTTCACTGATTAATCCGTTTATTTGTAAATGTCTTCCTGCCACAAATCCACTTAAAGCAGAAGTGCTTATTAGTGATGGGATTTCTGGCTCGGCTAACTAAAAATAAAAATAATAAAAAATATGCACAAAAGGAATTACTAACTCAAAATAAAGTGTTTTTATTTATGTTTATATACGAATATATGCGGTGGCCCCTGGAGACAAAGCATATTCCTAGCGTTAACTGAACTTCCAAAACAGAGCTACCTAGATCACTTAAATTACAGAATTGAAAGCATATGGGTATTTGCCTGTTACTACCATACACCAAATCTGGTCGTTGGTACTTCCTGGCTTGTGTAGCCACTAGGTAACAAAAGCTCAACACTGCGCCGAGCATCCTGGAGCACTTCTGTTGTGTTTTGTACGTGCTTCGTCTCTAGGGGCCACCGTAAATATACTTTTATTTATTCACTCCACATAAAAGGTAATACATAAATCATATAATACAAAAAAACAACTATTCACAGTCCAGCTTTTAACTATTTACATTTTCATCTTTTTCCTTTTAAACCACCGAACCCTGCCCTGCTTTTGTCTTTGTTTCTTGATTTATTAAAAAAAAAAGAAAAAAAAAGGGTGAGAAATATACTTGCCTACATTTGCTATTCTACATGCTTTTAAACCATTTAAAATTACAATTCATAGTTTTATATGTGAATTACTTAATGTTATAGTATACTATTAGTATACTATTTTCCAGGGAACACTGGAACACTTTATTTTATTTATTTTTAGGTCTCTTCTACCCTGTTACCTATTTAATATTACCTTATTGTTAGAGCTGTTTTTGTTGTGCATCTGCACTTTATTGTTGTCAATGTCTACGCATGGGACAGTGTGAAATGTAATTACTATTACTTTGTATGGCAAGTACATTTGAAGAAATTGACAAATAAAGTTTTCTTCTTCTTCTACTAAATTATTATTGAACAAATGACCAACTAAGAATTTCAGACTTTAGTTTACTCCTTTGCCGAGTTTACTTTACTGAAATGTGATGAGCGTTGGAAAATAATATGTGAATAATTAAAGGAGGGAGCCATTTAGCATAACAATTCATGCTTACAAAACTACTTTTTTTTTTTTTACGGAAGTTAGTGAATTCCATGTTCATGCCGACTGTAGTTTCTAGAATAGAAAGAGCATGAAGATTGAAGTGTGAGTACGAGATTAATATACTACTGCTACTACTAAAGGAGCGAGCTCTTGGTGAGTGAGGTGGCTCTGAAAAAGAGCCGTTGTTGGTAGGAGAGCGTGTAGCTTAAGCTCTCTCCGCGGATGCGGCGAGCCAGCTGGATGTCTTTGGGCATGATGGTGACCCTTTTGGCGTGGATGGCGCACAGGTTGGTGTCCTCGAAGAGTCCGACCAGGTAAGCCTCGCTGGCCTCCTGCAGAGCCATGACAGCAGAGCTCTGGAAGCGCAGGTCGGTCTT